ACACTGAAAAGGATACAAACTAAGGATGTGGTTGTGCAAGCAGCAATCGTTCCCACTGGGATTGATTTCTGGCCATCTGCGAGGTCACCGGATCTGTTTGACCCAGCCATAATACCTATAGCAAGTCAAAAAGGTTTATTACTTATAAAACAAAATAAACAGAACTGATTTATTCACTTGCTAAATTAAGTTACTTGATGCATCTAGACAGAGATGATTAATTTCTGCACCAGTTTCAGGGAACTACAATAGCGTTGTGGCACTACGCTCGACTCTCATGCATAAAAGTCTTGGGTTCGATCCAAATAAATTCAATTATAAACAATCAATCCATACGTCCTTTTAAGGATGACATTTGTTGTTATTTGAAGCCCCACCCTGGCTTTTGCCAGGGGCAGCAATATAGGCAGGCCATAAATATGGCCAATTGTCTGAACGCGGTTTCTGGGACCTCTCCACGGTGATCCTCATCCACGTGGTGGCACTTTATGTCATTGGGTGTTTATCGCTTGTGTGATGTCCTAGTGGGGTAGAAAGTCAGTCAGTCAGTCCAAATAAATTCAGATCGATTTTGCTTGCAAAATTGACTTTAGCTTTCAGGTCGACATAGCATAGAAAGGTTATTTGGGAAGTAAAGTTAGCTCGCGTGACCCTTACCATGTGACCCACGGAATGGCGATTGCTCTACACACTCAAACACACACACATGCACACACGCACACACACAGAATCAAGTAGCATATGCACAATGCGCCACTGACGTCAAAAAAGTAGGTGCTTTATTAATATCCTACCCCAGATGATGACACAGGACAGTCCAACATTTTAGAGGGTGGTAAGACTGAGTTTCCCGGCTTGCTGTTGCTTTTAACGACCCCAAAACATCTAAAACTGGCCCAAACCCAAACCCACCTGCGTCCAACGAGATAGTAGGTCCAACGACTGCAAGCAGCCCATCTACTACCCCTGTAATATTAAATTGTTCCGTGACCTGTGGAATTCCCCTGTCGGGGTAAGATATTAATAAAGCACCGAAAAGTCCTTCACCTTTTCTTAAACATCCCCTTATTGTTTTCATTTTACACAAATGTTGTCTGCCCTTTTTTTTAATGTACACAATACTAGCACAACAATGACAATCAACCAATATAGCATATATAATAAACGAACAATGTATTGATCGGTACTCATAGAAAGAAGCAGAAAGATAAAAGAGCACACCAGACAGCATAATAATAGAAAGCTATAGTTACCGTGCCGGGAATCGAACCTGTCACACCCAAAAAACGTGTGTGCCTCGCAATAGAAACAAGCATACAAAGATTGGCCATGTCTTTAGCACAGCTTAAAATCCACAGCTTCGGAATACGGACATATATATAATACGTTTCTACGGCATCAAGGCCCCCTTTGATGGTATTCAGTTTCGTCCTTTTAAGGACGAAATTTTTTATTTGAAGCCCCACCCTGGCTTTTACCAGGGGCCGCAATATAGGCAGGCCATAAATATGGTCAATTGTCTAAACGCGGTTTCTGCGACATCTCCACGGTGATCCTCATCCACATGATGTCCACATGGTGTCATCTGGTGTTTATCGCTTGTGTGATGTCATCAAGTCATCAAGCCCCCCCCCCCCCTCCCCTTTCGCCCCATTTTTGTTTATTTATGTCTAACTAACATATTCTATTGCTTGAATCCTACGTAATATTCATCAGTTCCCTTAGGCATTGGCTTTCTGTTGCATTTAACTTTGTTTGCGTATCTTTAGTAGTTCTCATAACTGTCGTAAAACTGTCACACATGTCGTAATTGTAACAGACTCTGAAAGCCTGCTGAGAAAGGTGAAGACAGGGATGCTTCGAACGGAGTCGCAAGCTTCAATGGGAAGGTCACGAGTAGTGAGCATAATTTGGATCTTTTCTCCTGGCGATGCCGGCGTGGTGGGTAATTAACAGGCAGGCATATTGGCTGGATCTGCACCACTGGGTGGTGAAATAATACATGACAAGGTAGATGTGGTCAAGGCTCTCTGGGAACAAGCAAAGGAGTCAGTAGAGAAACAAGATTATTATGGCCTGGAGAGAATGAGGCACCTGGGTATAACCAGAGGGTCTGACCGGCTCACTACACGCAGAGGAAAGGCAAGAAGGGTATATATCCAGATTGTGATAGGTGCCATCAGTATTGGAACTCTGCGCTGGCTACTGAAGATGAGAACGGAGCACGCATGGGAATGTCCCGAGTGCTGTGATGTCAATTATTGACTTAACTCAACTCAACTTAACTCAGAACTGTCACACACATACGTTAAGAAAAATGAAATAACATAAGAATTTTATGAGAAAATTACAGCCTCATTATATGAGTATTTATAATATTAATTTAAAAAATACAGATAAATACTCACCAGTGACAGATGGAAAGTAAATGGCAAGTAAGACCATAAAGGAAGACGTGAGATCTGCAACAATCTCTCCTCTCTTCTCTGAACCTTTAACAGTTGATCCAATGATGTTGCCCTCTTCCGTGTATCTACTCTTGACGTTGCCTGACATGTTAAGAATTTAAATTCATTTGATAATTACTTACAAACTGTGAAGTTATTAAGAACTGTCAGTTAATTAAACATAATTTTCAACACTATCCAACCTAATTGACATGGGAGCCAAGGACCTTTTTTAAACAAATCCGGTTCGTTGTAGATCTGAACACATGAACTTCAGGCACGTAGGCGAGTGTCTGACCACTAAACCACGGCGGTTCCCAGTCGACCCAGCCATAAATGGGTACCAGGTAAACTCCTGTGCAAAAAGGCGGCCGGCGTTGTGTTTACCCCATCACCCACCGAGTACCGATTGATCTAAAAATTTATGTCTAGCGCAACGAAGATGTAGACAATACGCCCGGAGACGCTGAATAAGGACAATTATTTATTCAACTAGATACAATGCAACACGGACTGCTTGTTATTTAGTAGAGTTATCGTTACTTTCTAATTTATGCATCTAAGAACATACAAAGTTAAGTCTTTCTTGTAAGCTTTTAGAATTTGTTTATAATGCTAGCCAAAACAAATAGTTGGCAATGTGTTTCAAGCATACAGTTTTTAAAAAAAAAACTATGTATTCCCGTGGTGAATTTAAATGAAGAGTTCATACACAATCTGGTGACAAGTTAGATATTGTGAGGGCCCTTTGGGAGCGAGTGAACAGTGCGGAGGCACAGACAGATCATGACAGTCTAAGGAGAATGGCGCTGCGAGGAGTTACCAGAGGATCTGGCTGCCACTCAACACTCAGGGGAAGGATGAGACGGATATACAATCAGACAGTTACAGGTACCTTTGTAATTGGAACTCTTTGCTTACTGCTGAAGATGCCCGTCTCTCTAGCGTAGTTGGCTAAACCAGACTGCGCGGTGAGCGGGTGACGAACTCCTTGTGGTCCGGGTTCACTCCCGGGGGTGGGCAGAAAAGCTACATTTCTCCCAGATTTACGGTATTTAAAATGGAATCAGGGCCGACAGGTTGCGACATCCATAATACTGAGCCTAAGGGTTAACAACTCATGGCTTCTGGGTACTAAAACAAACAACAAACAAACCGCTGAAGATTGGGGCTGAGCACTTATGGGAGTGTCCCGAGTGCTGTGATGCCGATTCGTAATTCAACATCCAAAACAGGTTGGTGATTTGTTCTATTATTTAGAATTACCATACGCGGTTACAGCCAATGCTCACTTGTTTGTTCTTTATAAAGAAAGGTCAAATGATGATGATGATCGTAGTTACCATTGCTGAGGGAGACCCATCCTGACAGGTATTTTGCATTATTTGTTAATTTACCAGTTATTATGACTAGTAATCATTGACTTAGCCTACACGGCATGTTGCGAAGGGCGACTAAGGATAAGGTTGAGCTTTGGGGTTGGCTACCTCACCCTGTAAAAAAAAAGTCGTTTCAAGGCCCTTTGGAAACAAGTAACAGAATCAATTGAGAAACAAGATTATTATGGCCTGGAGAGAATGAGGCACCTGAGTGTGACCAGAGAGTTTGGCCGACTCGCTACACTAAGAGAAAAGGCGAGAAGGACCTATAACCAGATTGTGACCCGTACCATCAGTATTGGAACTATGCGCTGGTTGCTGAAGATGAGGACGGAGCACGCATTGGAATGCCCCGACAGCTGTGATGTCAATTCTTGACTTAACTAACAAACCCTGTAAAAAAACAATAGCCAAAAAAAAAATTACCTAGCCAACCAAGATGGGGGTGGTAGGGGGTGGGTGGAAAGGGGTAGGATGGATCGGTGGCTCTTCTTAAAAAAGAAGCTAGAGAGTCTAGTTTAAAAAATGTGGGAGGACATGGGGTGTGCTGCGTGAAACAGAGAAGCATAGAACGACTTGGTGTGAGCTGGTGGCTTAAACTCTACAGGGAGATGAAATATAGAAGAAGACATACCATTTCATAATTATGCGGTTTCATCACCATCATCATCATAAGGTGGGCGATCATGCCTCTCCGCAATCTGCGATCTCCTGCAGCATGAAACAGTTCGTGTGCCGACACACCTCCATGCAACAAGACTTTCAAGAATCTTCTCTCGTTATCTTCCTCTATCCCTCTTTCCACAGATCTTTCCAGTGGTCACAACATGTTATATTTTCCCTTTTCTCATAACATGGCCGAAAAATGATGACTGTCTCCTTCTGATGTCTGTGATAAGTTGTCTTCGGGCTCCCGCCTCTTTCAAAACCTCTTGGTTACTCTTTATGGCTGTCCAAGGTATTTTAAGCATTATTCTGTAAAACCCCATCTCTGCGGTCTCAAGAAATTGTTTGGCCTGTCTACCGATTGTCCAGGATTCACAGCCTTTTTTGCTGTATACGTTATGTAAATTTGACTGCAACTATTTTTTTTTTTCAACAAAGCAAAAGTACAATCTGAGGCAGTACAGAAAAGTTAAAATATACACAGCAGAAATGAAGCATCGAAACTCACTCATAAAAACGCCGCTGAATAAGCCAGGAATCGCCTTGACTGTTCTAGTAAGAACGTTGGGGTCTGAGAAGTATTGGCAACTCTCACTGCTGTTATCATCTCCACAGTAATGCTGGAATATCGGTCCTGACTCGTTCTTAGAGCAGAAAACTGACCCATTAAGCATGACAGATTGCTGAGTGAGTAGTCTATCGCCAAGATAACACACCCTGTCATAGTGAAATGCAGGTAATTTTCATAAAATATTTGCAAGTATACATTACTAGCATGCAAAATAAATTCAGAAGCATTAATTTTTAATCTATACACCTTTTTCTCTTGACTTTATATTACCCCAAAGGCATATTTAAGCCTTTCTCGTCACTCAGAGGTTCTTACAGAACGTTGCTTGCCTCCGACAAGCCTGAAAGTCTCTCTACCAAACTCCAGTCCTATGCGCCGGTACAGTTGTCGGAAATCGAGACAGAAGCAGACCATCATAAAGACGATAAAGATGCATTAGCGTTCAGCGATCACTGATCTCTCCAGGCCACGATAACGTTTCAGTCAATCCGCGAATCCTTTACTGAACGTCAAACACTTCCCGGCAAGTCTGAAAGCTCCCTTTCTCTGGTGACCGGCTATATCAGGATCTGAATCCATGGCCTTCTGATCCAAAGGCGAGCGTCTGGCCGCTGCACGACGGCGTCTGCTTCGAGTGTACGTGTACATGCATATGTATGTGTGTAAGCAAACACGTGTACATGGACTTCCGCTTGGGTGTTTGCGCATGTGTGTTTATATCTATGTTACCGTATGCAAACGCGTATAAGTGCATTCACACATGGGCTTGCAGACATGTGTTATATATATATATATATGTGTGTGTGTGTGTGTGTGTATATATATATATATATATATATATATATATATATATATATGTGTGTGTGTGTGTGTGTGATTGTACATGTATGTCTATATATGTGTGTGAGGTTGTGTTTAGTGTATGCCGACCCTCTCCCCAACAGCCCTCACAAGGTGCTAGAGTGCTGCCCTAAACCACTAGTTTTGGTGCAACTGACATTTCTTTGCCAACCTAATTTGCACAAAGAAACCGGTCCACAGTTATAACAGATACTGCTCGCAGTAGGTTGAACGTGATCGATTTTATGTTTTGTTTTACACAAATGGGTGGATGGATGGTTCTCAACTTTCCTGATGCCGCAACCCTTTTATACAGTTCTTCATATTGTGGCGATCCCCAACCATACAATTATTTTCATCGCTACTTCATAATTGCAATTAAAATGTGTTTTGCGATGGTCTGTGAAAGGGACCTTGGACCCGAACATAGTCGCGAAACATAGGTTGTGAACCTATGCTCTAGCCAATTCTCCAGCATTGTGTGCTTTCACAGCTAATGCATTACCAACATATTTTATCAACGTTCGGGAAGGTCTGCCTCACTTCCCGGAAACAGTACCCTGCATCACAGTTCTCTCCAGGCCATCATGCCCTTTAACATCCAAAAGTCATCAGCTTTCGGTACGGAATGCTGTTTATGAGCCAATTCTCTTCGATGTTCGTTCAGATCATGCAGGATGTCGGTGTGTTTCTTCTTCTTGGTCCATGGCATGCCAAGGATTTGTCTGCAGCAGGACAGTCAAAAAAGCTCTTAATTTGTTTTTTCCTTGGTGACTGATTAAGAGTCCGTTATTTTAAAATTTACACTTCAACTAGCCTTTCTACAACTGATAATAGGTGGTAGGGTTTTGCTGAGCAATCTTTTAACAGAAATGGTCGGGAAATTCCCACAAACCGATCAGTCTTATTCACTTCTTACAACATGATTATTACTTTGCTATTATTGTCCCCCCCTCCTCCCCCTTTAAACGTGCATACTGGAAACTCAAAGAAACAGAAACAATAAGTAAGCACTGGAAGACAAGAAGGGAAATAAAGTTAAACCTTGTTAACAAGAATTCGATTAGGATGTACACTCCGTTAACATAAACACAATTTTGAACCTATTTACGGATGTCATCATCATTATATATCAAGTTCTTTGCCGACCAACACGAAGATAGGAACAGGATATAAATGGCTTTCTGAATATGACACTACACGAGGCAGGAGAGCTGGCGACAGACCGAGTTTCTTTCAAGCAGACCGTGATGAGAGCGACGTTCTGCAAAGGACCTTATACGTGATGATGATGTAACCTGCAATCCTATGGCGGTACGGACTTCTGTGAGGCGTGCACAGGATGGCTCTGATATGTTCGGCCATTAAACCAGACCAGAGCTCTTTTACCCCATCTGCTCTCATTGCACACTTTCACTGCGTTTATTAAAAATGTTTAGCTTTCATAACTGTATTGTTTAGGTTTAATTTATCTTTTCTTAGGAAAATAACCCATATACTAATTCCAGTTTGTCGCCTTTTAATTTGTTCGGTTTCTAAAATTCTTTCGAAGAACAATGTTAACTGGCTAGATTACATTTTTTTCACATTTCATGTATCCGGAGTGTCTACCTCCCCCCCCCCACCCCCCCCTCCCCCCGTTTTCATTTATTCCAAGTCTTTCCTAGGATTATAAAGTTTTTCCCCCTTTCATTTATCCGAAGTCTCTCTTAGGAGTTTACAAATGTTTCTCCCTTTCATGTATTTATCAGAAGTCTCTCCTAGGAGTATAAAGTTTTTCATACTTTCATTTATCCGAAGTCTCTCCAATGAGTTTACATATGTTTTCCCCCTTTCATTTATCCGAAGTTTCTCCAATGAGTTTACATATGTTTTCCCCTTTCATTTATCCGAAGACTCTCTTAGGAGTTTACAGATGTTTTTTCCTTTCATGTATTTATCCGAAGTCTCTCCTAGGAGTATAACGTTTTTTATACTTTTATTTATCCGAAGTCTCTCCTATGAGTTTACATATGTTTCCCCCTTTCATTTATCCAAAGTCTCACCTATGAGTTTACATATGTCTCACCTATGAGTTTACATATGTTTCTCCCTTTCATTTATCCGAAGTCTCTCCTATGGGTTTACAAATGTTTCCCCCTGTCATTTATCCGAAGTCTCACCTATGAGTTTGCATATGTTTCCCCCTTTTATTTATCCGAAGTCTTTCCTACGAGTTTAGAAATATTTCCCTCTTTCATGTATCCAAAGTCTCTCCTGAGAGTTTGTGTGACACTGCTTCTTTATTTTCCAGAGTCAATATGAAATAGTGAGCAAATTTTACTTACATTCAAAAACACTTAGTATTTCAAACTGGTCAAACACTCACTAACTAAAATGTGTTTAATCTCAAATGTTTTGTTCCCCTCACTTGATAATAACATATAAATTTTCACACACAAAAATTAACAAATTAAACATAAACACTGGATGCTCTTTGATTCAAATATATTACTATGTTGAATAGATACTGGCCTGTGTTAAATATAAAAAAAGTCTAGCACTAAATCTTTTGAAGTTCCAGCTTATCAAAGGCTAGACATGTTTGTGATAAAGGTGAGGCAAGATAACATAAAATACAACATTAAACACTGATAGAGAGCTACAAAGGAACTAGTCTGTCAAAAGCAATAACGGTCGGCAGGATGCACAGGTAAACAATCTTCCTGGGCCACATTTGAAGCCCTTACACATCAATGAGTTTTACTAAAGGAAAAAGTCAATGGCCCTTTCGCCGCCCTTAGGCGTATCGGGTATATAGGGCTACACCCAGAATTTAGATCGATCAGCACCCGGTTGATGATGTGGTCAATAGTACGCTGCCCGCATTTACCTCCCAGAATGGTGCCTACCATTTTAAGGCTGGGTCCATATGCCCGATGAAAAAAAAAATCAAGTTCTATGTGGATTTAAATCTGCGACCTTCAGGCCCACAGGCGAGCATATAGATACTACACCAGTTATCCCCTCCGAGAGGCTACCTGATATGTCACCCTGAGAAGATCTCGACTCATAAAGTTGGGGACCAACAGCGTTGAAGACACACATCTATTCAGGACTGAAACAGTTTAACTTTGTATTCGCTAAACAACGCACTATCCGTGACTATGTATTATTCGCATGTACCAGGCAACGCGTTGTGAGTGTTTTCACAGCGTGTTTAGTGAGTGACTCTGAAAACACATTATTCTTTCCGCAAGGATTGTATATCTGGCGCCCCTGGAAGTAGTATACCCATGAGTCAAGTATTGCCATTCATAACTTTCTCGATTAATATTAAAGTTAGAAGGATCGACTTCATTGCACTGGTTTTAACCCACATGGCTCAGTCTCTCTCCACAGAACAGCTAGCCACCTGACAGCCTAAACTCCATAGCTCCGGCGACGATCCTCAGGAATTTCTGTAACATAAATGCACTCATGAAATGAACGACGCAGTCGTGAAACGAACCCACGACATTCAGTGCGCGAGGCAAACGGCTTGACCACTTCGACACGGTACTGAATTAAAAAAGTTAATTATTCTAAAGCATAAATACTGAACATACTCAGCACTCCTCTCAGGACTGGCAACGAAGATTCCAATGTAGATACACAGGATGGAAATCAGCACACAGGCTAGAGAAAGTGCTGCGAACTTGCTGACAAATGCTACCCCAATGAAGACAACGATTGCCAACAGGAGCAGTACTATAGTACCATAGAGACGGTAGCTGTTGAACACATCCCCGAACATGTTCAGCTCTGGAGCCATGTATTTCTGGGGATTAAATAAAAAAAGTAAATTAAGTGATTATGAAATGTTCTTTCTAATGTCGGGATGATTGTTTTTTGCTGCATGTGTTTAGAACGTTTAAGCCGCTGTTATCGGATAAGAGGCCTGACTGACTGACTTTCTACTCCACCAGGACATCACACAATCGATAAACACTCGATGACACAAAGTGCCACCATGCGGATGAGGATCGCCGTGGAGATCACGAGAAACCGCGTTCAGACATTTGGCTATATTTATGGCCTGCCTATATTGCGACCCCCGGCAAAAGCCAGGGTGGAGCTTCAAATAAAAATTTCATCCTGAAAAGGACGATAGAGAATAATAATACCACCAATAAGAGGCCTGTTGATTTAAGGCCCCATGCAGTTACCGTAAGCTGTTCAGGTTAGGGTTTTAATTTTTACCCCGTTTTTGCAACTTTTTTTTTTACTGAGACCCTTATTCAAGAAGCCTTTTTTTCACACCAGAGGCATTGGGCATCTAGGGCTAGACCTATTTTTTATAGACCACTCTGCACTTGGTGGGTGCTGAGGTCGGCATCATAACGGCCACCTTTACTTCTCAGTTCTTTACCAATTAGCTATTTTAGGCTAGGTCGACCTGAGAGCTAGGGTCATTTTACAAAACAATCCGGCTTGATGTAGATTTAAACCTTTAATCTTCGGGCCCATGGCGAGCGTCTGGTCGCTATACCCTGGCGGCTCGGTTAGACCCTTATAGTGACATTAATATATATCTATATATATATATGGTGTGTGTGTGCGTATGAGTGTGTGGTTGTTTGTGCGTGCACATAAGTATATGCTATTGAAACGTTCCATATATTCTGATTACGTTACTTTTTGTAGCCATACTGATGTATACTTTATATGTTTTGGGACAGGTAAAAAAAAAAAAGTTACTGTAAATATATTGTGTTGATACTAATGACAGACACGCAGGCAGGCACATGCTCAAGCATGCATGCACACACGAAAACACACATAAACACAAACACACACGCATGTGTACTCACACGCACACACACATAAACACAAACACACACGCATGTGTACTCACACGCATACACACATAAACACAAACACACACGCATGTGTACTCACACGCACACACACACATAAACACAAACACACACGCATGTGAACTCACGCGCACATAAATTTGATTAGGTAACTCAATTATTCACGGACACACGCCGTGATCCTAGACACTTAATAAACATGTCTTACAGAAGAATCCTTTTAATTTCTTCGACAGACAAAAAGGAGCAATCCAGATGTTTTACAAGAGGTGAGAGCTTGACAACATATCACCAACGTCAGAAAGAGACAGTCATCATTTTCTGGTTATTTTATGAGAAGAAGGAATCTGGAATATGTTGTGACCAACTGAAAGATCTGTGGACATAAAGACGGAGTAGGACAGCGCGAAAAGCTTCTTGACAGTTTGTTTTGTTGCAGGTGTGTCAGCACACGATCTGATACATGCTGCTGAAGATAGCAGCTTGTGGAAAGACATAATCTCCGTCAGGTAAATAATAATAATGATGAAAAACACATACACAGATATTTAACTGACCACCGACTGCCAAAAAGAAGGTGGAGAGGAAACGTTTCAAAGACAACCTGAAGACTACTGTCTTCTTCGTTTTTTCTTCCATATTTACCTCAGCCAGGTGTTGGGAGGAGATATAAGGATCGCTTGTGCGCTTTTTCCAATGCATTGTACAGATTGGTGTTCATTTCTGTTAGGTTGCTCTTGATGATGTCGCTTAATATTTTGCGTGGTCTCCCCCTTGCTCTGTGTTCATTATATTTCTTCAGCATGGTTCTCTGTGGTAGCTGGTACCAAGGCATTCTTGTCGGGTGGCAAACGATCTCATTAGTTCTTTTTTAATGTATTGTTTGACTAATACGGTCTTAAATGATTTGCTTTGGTTGACATGGGTATCTTCCTTTGCGTCAGAAGCGGTGTTAATTGTCCCATAACCAGATTTGCCTTTGCAACATCGTATGTTGATTTTTTTTATCCATTCTTCCATTTGAGGTGAAAAATGTCCCTAGATATTTGAATTCACTTGTTTGTTTTATTTCTGTGTCATTTACTTTAATGGATATGCTTTCTTCTTGTCTACCTATTACCACTGCCCCTGTCTTATTAATGCTTACGTTCATAATATATTTTTTACACTTAGTACTGACTTGGTTTACGTGGTTTTTTGTAAACTCTCTTTAATTTCAGCTAATAATACTTGGGCATCTGCAAATAACAATTGTGAGGTTTCTGTACTGATTCCTAAAAACATGAGAAGTCGCTGCATGTGACCGCTCATCCTGGCGCTCATCTCTTCATCGATGAGCTGTGGCCCAGGAAGCTGCTAGAACTGCAGCAGCAATTGAGAAAAGACAAGCCAGGAAATACACTGGTCAAATCACCAGAGAGATGTGGCCTGAGTTCCCTGTCAACACTGCTCAAAAACTGTATGTGCTATAATTGGCCTTATCAGTCATCTGTGTGCTTATAAAACCTAATGCAGTCACTATTGGATAAAACGACAGCATATCGTCACATGAGATAGACGAATCACGGAAACACATACAAACAGTTTAATGATTAACCCAACTGATCCCAATCAATCTGATTATTAATCACAAAGACAACCGTCTAACAGTGAAACACACCACTAAGATTTCCACAGATCCAATGATGTACATCGAAGCAGCCACGCAAGTCCCGAAGTAGAACAGAAGACCAACAGCGCCTCCGAATTCCGGTCCCAA